TCCTTAGCCTATTATGAATCGATATTTATTATCAGGGTTCGCCTACAGTGAAGTAGAATTCTCCCCTCGGCAACATAAATGTGCGCATACAACATTGGTCTTATCTTTGCCTAAACGTGACAGTGTCTTTTGTGGTACTGGCGCGCCCGAATAACTCTGTTCTTTTGTGGCGCCGCGGGGTGGGTTACCGCCTGTCTAGGGTGGTTGTTCACCTAACAGCTATGGCAAAGTTGACATGTATATACATTAAAACAATATAGCCTTGATGGGTGTACGTTGCGGAGACGTTAATGCATCTCATTTCATATATATTTAGGTGTTTATAAAAATGTTGTATAAACGAATGATGTACTATATTATTAATTAATTTAATGGTTGTGCTCTATTCTCAACACATCATTATACTATACTGTATTATTTACTATTATTCGTTACTATTGGGCATAACATTATTAATATTTAGGTCTATTATTATTAGACCTTACTTGTAGGCCTACTGTCACAGAGTGATTATTATTATTATTATTATGATTATCATCATCATATGGAAAGACTATATCTAACAGAGTGATTATTATTATTATTATTATTATTATTATTATTACCACCATTATATGGAAAACTGTATATGTTGACCTAAAAGAGATGGAAGCTCATACTTTTCATATACACTTTGTGTCTTACCTGGATATCTTGTATGCTAATTTTAATTATGCATATGCAAATTAATTATGCTAATTTTGGATGATTGCGAGGGGTGGACAGTGTTGAGGTCAGTTGAGGAAGATTGGCTGAGCGTGAGATGGCTCAAGGGAGGCCAATGATTTGAATGGCCAAAAGATAGGCCTAAAGGATTGGAATTATCCTTGTTTTGCGAAGTATCCTGCAGCTGTCTCTTATACACATCTAGATGTGTATAAGAGACAGGATAACTTTATTGTTCCACAAGGGAAATTCTTCTGCTCGTCATCACATACAGTATTATATTAAAAAATTTAAAACAAATATAAAAACATACAAAACAGTCACTATAGAAAATATAACAATATACATGTAAAATACAATGACTACCATCGATAAAATAAATTGAATTACAATTATGATTATTTTTATTATTCTTATTCTTCTTCTTATTATTATTATTATTATTATTATTACTATTATTATTATTATTATTATTATTATTATTATTATTATTATTATTATTATTATCATCATTATCGTAATTAATACAGTTAAAATTATTATTGATATTATTATATTGATAATGAATTATCTTCAAAACCTCTTGTTGAACTGGTTGATGCCGGAGGGAATAAATGACTTCGCATAACGGTTTGTTTTTGCTCTGAGTAGCCTCATTCTACCACTTGGATTAAGTTGGTTAATAATAGCATAATGGAGTGGATGAGAGGTATCTAAATCAATACAATGGAAGGTTTTCTGAAGATGTTCTAGATACACCTCACTAATGGAGGGCAACTGTAGACCAATCATTTTACAAGCCTGACGAATGAAAGTGTCAATACGTCCTCTATCCACTCCGGCAGCATTACCAGCCCAACAAGCAAGGCGATATGTCCAAACACTACAAACAACAGATCTATAAAAAGAAAGCAACATAGGTTCACTGGAATTAAATTTAAATAGAGTTCTCAAACAATACATTCTAGGATTTAATTTTTTACACAGGAAGTCAATATGGTCACTCCAGCTCAATCGATTGTTAAAAATATGCCCAGATATTTATAATTATTAACTATTTCTATTTCTTCTCCTTTTATGGTTATTGGTTGAAATTGAAATTTATGTTTGGTTCTAAAGTCAATAATCATCTCCTTTGTTTTTGTAGTATTAATTTGTAGGTAATTATTGTCGCAAAATTCAACAAACCTTTTTATTTCGTTAAGATAATGTATTTTATTTATTTTTACAAATTGTTTCCTATCACAAATAAAATTTAAAATTAAACGTACAATTGGACGGGGGAACTGCATATCCAACATTTTTCTCGCAAGAACATGGGGTTGTATAGTATTGAATGCCGACTGAAAGTCAAAATACATGATACGTGCAGAATGGCCTTTATTTGTATTATCAAGATGTGAGTATAGACTGTGTAATTTATGGAGTATAGCATCACTGGTACTCCGTGATGATCGATAAGCGAATTTCAATGGATCTAAAACCTTTTCCACATAGGGTTCCATAATTCTTAAAATAAGACGTTCCAAAGTTTTCATAACAACAGAGGTAAGTGCAACGGGCCTTAGATCATTCATACAAGTAATTTTTGGTTTTTTTGGTACCGGTATTATGCATGAAAGTTTCCAGAGATCAGGGAATGTATGATTTAAGAGACAAAGATTAAAAATATAAGTAAAAATACCATCAAGATGAGGAGAGCATGCATTAAGTACTCGTGGTGGGATCTTGTCTGGACCAGCAGCCTTCGATGGATTGAGTTTCATGAATTCATTATGAACATCAGAAATACTAACAATAAATTTAGGGTCCTCTTCAGTGACCCGACACGAGTTAAACAAGGGCCTCCTCTCTTCCTTAAAATCATAACCATTAAAACGATTATAAAATTCATTTAGCTCATTTACATATTGCACTGTTACATTTGGAATTGGGGTAGGTATATTACCACTATTTGTGTAGCCACTCATTAGTTTCATACCCTGCCAGACTTTTTTCATATTGTTTGACTTAAAGTTCTGTTCGACTTTTTTCCTAAATATATTCTTCTGTTTCTTAATTTCAGGTTTAATCTCACTGGTCAGTCTTTTCATACGATTGGTATCACCCAGCTTAAATGCTTGCCGTTTCTCACACAAAAGTAATTTGACGGCTTTTGTTATCCAAGGTTTGTTATTAGGATAAATTTTAACTGTTTTTACTGGCACGCATTTCTCAATACAAAAGTTTATGTAGGCGCTCACTGCGTTTGTGATACCATTCAAATCTTCTTCATCAGTAAAAATATTCCAATCGGTTTTTTCAAACTCTGTTATTAGGGCTTCTTCAGCTTCGGGTGACCACTTGCGAACTTTAATAATTTTTGGCTCGCATGTTTTTATAAGTGGACGGTACCTAGGGCTAAGTAAAACCAAATTATGATCGGAGTGACCCAAGTTCGGAAGTGGCCAAGAAGTATAGGCATCTTTCACATTTGAAAAACATAAATCAAGAATCGCATTGTCTCTTGTTTCACATGTAACATGTTGATAATATGTGACCGTTGTTTTCTTGAGTTTACACCTGTTGAAGTCGCCATTTATAGGTACTAACGCTTCAGAATGCGAACATTCAATGTCCTGAATTATTTCAGCAACCTCATTTATCGCATTCTTTTCGAACTTTTTTTCTGGTATATATACCAAAACATTAATGACATGCGAGAATTCCCTCGGCAAGTAATAGGGTCGAATACTAACCACCAGTACTTCAGAATATGGTGTACATTTGTGGAGCTTGAGCCTGTCTCTTATACACATCTAGATGTGTATAAGAGACAGTTCTTATTCAGACCTCCACCGCCATTTTTATTCGCATCAGGGGTACGATCTCCACGAACAGATTTAAATCCAACTACCTGGATGTATTGGTCACTGTGCTTATCACTCAGGTGCGTTTCGGTGAATGCCATTAAACTGGCATTTCTAAAATCGCTGAAGTGTTCTACATTTGCTCTAAGTAAATCGATTTTGTTGTTCAATGATCTAACATTTCCAAGTACTAAAGATGGTATAAATGGCTTACACTTCCTTCGTTGAAGTCTTTTTCTGACTCCTCCAGCCTTACCCCTCTTCCTAATCCTAGGCTTATTATATGGAAAGACTGTATATGTTGACCTAAAGAAGATGAAGCTCATACTTTTCATATACACTTTGTGTCTTACCTGGATATCTTGTATGCTAATTTTAATTATGCATATGCAAATTACTTATGCTAATTTTGGATGATTGCGAGGGGTGGACTGTGTAGAGGTCAGTTGAGGAAGATTGGCTGAGCGGGAGATAGCTCAAGGGAGGCCAATGATTTGAATGGCCAAAGGATAGGCCTAAAGGATTGGAATTACCCTTGTTTTGCGAAGTATCCTGCAGTATGTGGCTAAGTGTGTAGCCTGGAATATGCTTGATATATACAAGAAAACTGTGATGGAATTGAGCCACCCAAGTTTTATGAAAAATATTACAGGAAACCGTAGTGGAATTGAGACGCCTGAGTTTTATGGATAATACTGCCGAGAAAACTGTGGTGGAATTGAGACGCCCGAGTTTTATGGATAATACTGCCGAGAAAACTGTGGTGGAATTGAGACGCCCGAGTTTTACGGATACTGTGCTACAAGAAACTATTGTAGAAAAGCAGGGGGAATTGAGCCGCCCAAGTTGATTTGTTGCTACGGTAGAACCGAGCAGACGTAACGTGCCGTGAGAGCATTTTGTTTATAAACATTTCCGTTCGATATTTGTATAATGATGATTCTTTGTTAATTTTATATTATACCTTTACTTTTCATTGTTAAAGTCGGAAGATTCGACGATTAAATAGATAATCTGGTGTGAATTGCAACAAGTTGTACTCAGTTATTTCATTGGTTGAAGAACACAAACAGAGCTTGTGACAAGCTGATCAAGAACAAACTCGCTTGCAACCTCATGAAAGGAAAAGGAAGATAAAGGTGGGTCAATTTAAGAACAAGGATCAATGATATTGAATCAAGTACACAGTCTAATTTAAAAGGAATGTTTACAAAAAAATCGTTAAAAGCATTATTTATTTCCTGTTCATTAGTTAACGTACTATCGCTGACTGTAATTGATGAAGGTAAAACATTTATATTAGAAGAAATAAGATTATTAAGACCGCGCCACATTTGTTTACTATCATTGGCAGAATCAATTATGTCTTCTGTAACAATCTTTTTTTGCTTTGTTGTAGAGCTTAGTAACACGATTTTTACAGTTTCGTGCTTCAAGCCATAGTTCATCACGACCTGTTGATTTGGCACGAACCTTAAGACTATCTCGTCTGTGCATAAGTGAGAGAATGTCATCCCTATCCTTGAGCCATTCTGGAAGTTTCCTCTTAAAACGCTTGGTGCTTAGTGGTGCATGTTTGTCTATGACAATCTTCATGAAATTATGTAGAATTTTCAGGCAAATGTCGACATCGCTTATCTGTGTGATATTTGACCAAGGTAGTGTATCTACATCTTGTAGAAATTTTTCTTCATTAAAATTGCGAAAGTTACGAAATGTTCTTTGGTCATGTTCATTTTTATATGGTTTAAGTTTCAGTGAAGTAAAAATAAAATCATGATCGCTAAGAAAAGATTGAATTACAAAAGTGTTTTGGTGCAGGCAAGTATTTGTTGTCAGGATCAGATCAATCAAAGATTGACCGTCGTCAGTGGTGCGAGTTGGAGAAGGAACTATTTGAGTAAGACGAAAGAGATCCATTTTATCCTGCAGATTGTTGCGATTTGAGTGAGATTTCAAAAAATCAATATTAAAGTCACCCAAAATTATTAAGTCTCTTGCAACACAATAAGTATTTAAAAAGTTTTCAAAATTTTCAAAAAAAAATTTGCAGGTGTATTTGGAGGTCTGTACACAGTTGTTATATGAACAGGAAAAGTTGTCACATTGATTTCAATCATCAGTGATTCGAGTACATCATTAAGTTCATCACTGATGGATATTTCACTGTAAATGACGTTATTGGCAATGTAAATGGCCACACCTCCACCGTGTCTATTCCTGTCCTTCCTTATAAGTGTGTATCCAGAAATGTAGAACTTCTATATCGGGGATAACCGGTGATAGTTTCGACTCGGACACGGTGAGTATGTGGACCGGAGTATTATGGATCAGGAGGCGGAGTTGATCAATTTTATCAGAAAGGCTGTTGATGTTTATTTGAGCAACTTTCAATCCTTTGCAATTTTTAATCGCCTCAAAATGTTTCTTATTTTGATTAATATCGTCATTTTCAGGGCCTGGATTAGGGTGACATCACCGACAAGCTAATCTGAGCGATTGAGTTGGAGTTTGCGTACCGCAAGTACGGTGCGCTGTATCGCTTCCGCCTACCAGGTTGATTGATTACGACCCGTCGACGTTGTTGAATTTGCTTAACAATGCAAACAGGTGCAATAACTCGTAGTTTGACCGATGTTTCATTATAAACATGTATAATATTGTAAAATACTTTAGATAAATAATAAAAACATTTCGGAAATAAATCCACGTCATAGTAATTGCTACATATAAGATATACTGCGTCAAATGTTTAAGTCCAATGAGACGCCCCTGGCTTTGGAGATCGCCCGTGTCGAGTGAGAGATGGCCCGTGTCGCGATCGCCCGTGTCGCGTGAGACAAATACCAGCAGATTCTGGCTTAGCCGAGTGTCCATATAAAACACACGATTAATATCCAATATTACTCGGTTTCCTTTGTAATTCGAGTAACATTTGCCAGTATTAGGCTCAACATCATCAAACAAGAACGTACTAATAGGTAATAGGAAGGTTATTTGTACCAACAAGATCATAATCTTCATCCTCAGTTCGTTTCGATTCATAGCACTCAGAATCCCTCCGTGAGCCACATCCCGCCTATAAGTTATTAATTATATAATTATTGTACTGTATTTGAAAATTTTTACTTGTTCTTTATACGTATTTGTTTACGAAATAGGCCTACTGTAAACACATTCAACTGAAAAAGACAATCGCTACTATTACAGGTTCATGTTTTTTCGCGAGCAATGTGTTTACTCATATCTATTCCATGGAATACAAACAACATTTACGTCATTGACATTTATTTAAGTCTTTCGGAGAAAGAAGCAATAGCTCATTGGATTATACAGTTTCGTATAGAAAAAGCAACTTCTGATCATTTACCTTTAAGGTGATATTATTTATTACAACAACACACACATGCGCAAATCATGGCAATGTAACCTATCCATTGAAGAAAAACTCGCCATCCTATGCAACAAAGAACCCAACACAATTAACAAAAGAAACGAGCTCATCACTAAGTGCTGTCACAACAAATATAAATATAAAAGGGAAAGATACAGGTGACATCAAGTAACAACCTTAGGCTGTCATTTGTCTGATGATCGCCATAGGGCGCGAAACTCAGAGTAACAACCAAGCCACAAAAAAACATTGAGAAATATATTATATGGTTCAACGCTCTACAGCTTAGTATCGGGCACTATATCTGCTAATACTGATACACCGTAATTTATTAATTTATATATAAAT